GCATGCATACATTCATGCATGTATATATGCGCAGCTCGACGGACGCCAAATACGTTATGTATCGACTGCTTCAAGACGAAAGGCACAGGATAAAAAGGTCTTTCAACTCCGGTGTTTCGAGCAGCATGGCGAAGTCTTCTGATGCTCATGGATGGCCCCAGCCAAAGTCGGTGATTTTGTAGAACGGCTTTGCGTGTGCAGACGTACTCCATGCGTCAAAAGCATGGAGACGTGACCTCCTTCAGCGAGACCAGGGTTAGCCAGAAGTGGTTCCTCAGGCACCAATATGCAAGCTTTGCCCTAGCACTCAGCAGGCCTAACTCTACCACTCAGCCACAAAATCCCCAACATACGAAACGAACTCTCAAGCTTGGCTCGCGATTTACCCCGCATAGGGTTCGGGGGACCTGATTGCTCTCAGGTGCTGCCTCTGTTTTCGGGTTTAGGGAAGTTTAGGGTTTAGGGTGTCGACCTTCCCACTATCACCCGGACCTACACTCCGCAGGTCATTGTGATTGTGACTGGAGGTGTCAACAAAAATGGCCTATGCTCCGGGGGTCTCCGGGGGTGCATCGTACCTGCCTGGGCCAAGCATACGTCTTTTCCTTTTATTTTCGGCTGTTACCGTCACAGCCAGTAGTACTGGCAGCGAAAGCATTGCGAACGCTGTGTTTCGTACCATCCTTACTCCTAGAGCGCGGGCACCAGGTTGTCTGTTCGGCAGTGACCTAACTACCCACAAGGGGTCTGTCGATGCATGATGCAAGCATATCTTCCGAGAAAGCTGAACATGCAAGCTCATACTGACAATTAAAGCTGCAGCTTCGAATCAGAATGGTACTGTTTCATGACGTCTGGTTCCAGGGCCCGTGCCCCAGCAATAAACTTGTTCTGGCCAACGCGAGCTTGTGGTAGATGGCCACCAGGCGCTGGCAGAGCACAGAGACTAAAAGAGTGACCAGGGCGATAGGTTTGTATCCAATAGTTCTTGTTAGTATTATTCTTATTATTATTAGTAGTAGTAGTAGTAGCAGTAGTAGTATTATTGTGTTATTATTGAATAATAGATAGGATTCGTGAGTTTGCCACCCTTTGATTCCTACAGGTACACACTGCAGCAGATGTCTTGACAGGAAACTCAGCAAAGCCGAATACACCGAAGCCCTAGTTCCTACGGGAGTAGGCCCTACGACAGCCCCGTGACAACCGAAACCAAGCAGCCTCCCGGCTATGCGGCTTTAAATTCCGCCGGCAAAACCGACACCGCCAGCCACGCCGCTGGTCTATAAAATCCAACTCATGGCTAGGGTGGACTCCACGACCAACCCAGTCAAGAGTGGTTCGATAGCATCGCCCTATGAAGACGGCTGTCCATACTTGCTTGTACGGGGGCATCACAACAGACATGTTTCGTTTTGGGGGAGGCGTAGTACCTACTGTCGTTGTCACAGAAAATTTAAAAAGCAGCAATGTATATAGTAGCAGCAGTCGTCGTTGTTGTCGTCGTACTCTTCGTGCGGGTCGTCGTGATGGTGGTGGTGGCGGTGGTGGTGGTGGTAGTAGCAGTAGCAGCAGCAGGAGCAGGAGCAGGAGCAGGAGCAGGAGCAGGAGCAGTGGCAGTGGCAGTGGCAGTGGCAGTGGCAGTGGCAGTAGCAGTAGAAGTAGAAGTAGAAGTAGAAGAAGAAGTAGTA